TCCACTTGTGGTGTTTCTGTTACAGCAGCACTAGATGACTAAGACAGTATCTCGAATGAATCATTGCTTCTAGATGCTACCTGTCTGCTCTCCCAGCCACAGACGGGCTCTTTACAAAGGACTCTGTTGGAGAGATGCATTGAAGACGCAGTGGGGGTGTCAGCTTCTCCAGCCTCCAAGGAGGTGTGGGGGCTGCAGCATTACTGTTCGGTCTTTTCTGTGCAGAGTTATTTATTCCTTTTGTTGGCAAGACTGCCTGTTTGTGTGGGAGTGGGTACAACCAAAGAAAACCATATGTAGTGTCCAGTTATTTAAAGAATTCGCCAACACGTGGATCAACCCATAAAACCATTGCCGTCAAGTTGATTCTGACTCATAGCGACCCTATAGGACAGAGTAGAACCGCTGCATAGGGTTTCCAAGGAGCAGCTGGTGGATTCCAACTGCCAGCCTTTCGGTTAGAAGCCAAGCTCTTAACCACTGCACCACCAGGGCTCCTGCAGTGGACTTGAACCCTGACCCCATGGACAGGAGGTGAAATGTTTGGTCCACACAGGGATGCTGACCACCCCCTGGAGCGGCCAGGAGGATCCTGATGGAGGGTTTGAGGATGGGCTACGATACCCCATTCTGTGGAAGTATCGCAGCTTGTTCAACTGTTCCTTTACCTAGAAGAAACGATGCCATGGAGTTGAGTCTGACTCATGGTGACCCCATGTGTGTCAGAGTAGAACTGTGCTCCAAAGTGTTTTCAATGGCTGATTTTTTTGGAAGTAGATCATCAGGCCTTTCTTCCGAGGTTCCTCTGGGTGGACTTGACCTCCAACCTTTCACTTAGCAGCTGGGCATGTTAACCATTTGCATATCAAATGTACTCAAAACAAAATAACCTAGAGTAAGCTCCAACTCATGGTGCCCCCATGTGTGTTTGAGTAGAACTGTGCTCCATAGAGTATTCAGTGGCTGATTTTGTGGAAGAAGATCACCAGGCTTTTCTTCCAAGTTCCCTCTGGGTGGATTTGAACCTTCAACCTTTCTATTAGCAGCCAATTCTGTTAGCCGTTTCCGCCACCCAGGGACTCCAGTATTTACTTAAAAAAAAAATCCAGATATTTTTTCTTAAATTGTTGATACTGGAAATTGCGTCTTCGGATAACACAAACACACACCACACAGACACACACACACACCACTGTCAGATATGCACAAACACAGTTACAGACTTACACTTTAAGCATAACCTGTTGCATTTTTTGCAAACCACCAGATCAGTTGCATGGAGTCGACACTGACTCATGGCGACCCCACGTGTGTCAGAGTAGCACTGAGCTCCACAGGGTTTTCAATGGCTGACTTTTCAGAAGTAGATCGCCAGGCTTTCTTCTGAGACGCTTCTGGGTGGACACGAACCGTCAACTTGTGGGTTAGCAGCCGGTCGCGTTCACCGTTTGCACCCCCCGGAACTCCCCACCTACAAAGGACAAATGCTGCAGTGGGTAACCCTGGCTCCTCATTGGCAAAGGTGTTTGTATCTTCAGGGTAGATTTCTAGAAGTGATTTTGCTGAGTCAAAGCAGAAATACATATGTAATTGCGGTAGATATTGCCCGATATCCCTCCGCGGGGCTTTTTTCACTATTTTGTAATCCCACCCACGGGGTTATGGGAGTGCCTGGTCGCCGCAGTCTTGCCAGAGAAGCGTGACATCGAGCTGTTGCATTTTTGCCAACCTGATAGGGGAGAAATGGTATCCCAGTAGGAGCTGTGATTAGCATTTTCCCATTAGGTGTAAAGTTGAATGTATGCTTTTAAGGCCCATTTGGATATCGTTTTCTCTAAGCTGTTATTTTCGCCCTTTTTTTCTATAGGGCATTTGGATTTTTTTTGTTGGTTACTAAGAACTCTTTATATATTAAGGAAAATAGCCCTTTGTGATGCAAGTTGAAAATTTTCATTCAGAGCATCACTTATTGTTGATTTTGCGAATGGTGTTTTTTTTAATCATGTAAAAAAATTCTCTTAGTGGCAAAATTTATCTACAGATTCTTCCTGGATTTTGACTTATAATGAAACAAACAAACAAAAAAAATCAAACCTATTGCTACAAAGTCAATTCTGAGTCATGGCGACCCGTGACTTATAATTAGGAAGGCTTTTCTTATTCTGAGGTTAAAACTAAATTTATTCATGCTTTCTTGTTGTGTTTTTTAGTGTTTACTTTTCCCCCTTAGAGTTTGTTGTTATTTATACTGTGAGGTATGCATTCAATTTTATCTTTTTCTAAGTGTTTATTCAGGTGTCCCAACATCATTTATTCAAAATTCCCATCTTTGCCACGTTTATCATATGCTACATTTCCACGCATATTTGGTTTATTTCTGCAATTTCTAGTCTATTCCCTTGGTGTCCATTCAAGGCGTAGTACCAGACCAAACCCATTGCCATTGAGTTGATTCCGACTGATACCCACCCCGTAGGGCAGAGGAGAACTGCCCCATAGGGTTTTCAAGGCTGTCATCTTTATGGAAGCCGACGGCCACATCTTTCTCCCGCAGAGCGGCTGGTGGATTCAAACCTTTTTAAAAACTATTTATTTTTGGTGGCAGTATACTTTTTAGTTACCTAGTACTGCTGTAACAGAAATACCACGTGTGGGTGACTGTAAAGAACAGAAATTTATTTCCTCACAGTTCAGAAAGCTGGAAGTCCGAATTCAGGGTGCCGGCTCTAGGGGAAGGCTCTCTCTCTGTCGGCTCTGGGGGAAGGTTTTGTCTCTTCTCACCTTCCGTTCCTTGGTGTCTTGGTGATCACATGGTATCTGTCTTCCCCTCCGTTTCTGCTTGCTTCCTTAATATGCTTTTTTATATCTCAAAAGATAGCACACACCCTACGCTAACACTGCCTTGTTAACATAGCCAGAAGGCACCTTCCCACGTGGGATTGTAACTGCAGGTACACCCATTGCTGTCACTTCGATTGCAGCTCATAGCAGCCCTCTAGGACAGAGCAGAACTGCCCCACGGGGTTTCCAGGGCTGTCGTGTTTACGGAACAGACTGCCACATCTTTCTCTCAGGGAGCAGCTGTTGGGTTGGGTTAGCAGCCCAGTGCTTAACCGCTGCGCCCCCAGGGCTCCGCCAAGCATTAGTACCTTCTGTTTCATTATAGAACCTGTCCCACGGTCCATGAGATAGCCAGGAGTCGGAATTGACTTGATGGCAGGGGGTTTGGTTTTGGGTTTGCCAGTACCAGTTTGCATGGAGTTGACTCTGACTCCTGGCGGCCCCATGTGTGTCAGAGTAGAACGGTGCTCCACAGGGTTCTCAGTGGCTGATTGTCCAGAAGTAGGTTGCCAGGCCTTTCTTCTGAGGTACCTCTGGATGGGTGTTTGAACCTCCAGCCTGTCGGTTAGCAGCCGAGTGCTTCACCATTTGCACCACCCAGGGCCTTCAAGATGCCCATAGTGGCTTCTCTTCCAAAGTCACGGTTTCAGCCAAGCGGAGCCCGCGGTTCTGCTGTTGATAGTCTGTAGAAGTGTGTGAGGGGGAATCCACGCCACGCCTGTCTCCCAGCTTCTGGTGGCCGCAAGCATTCCTTGGCCAGTTGCCACATCACTCTAATCTCTGCCTCTGTCTTTACGTGGCCTTCTTCCCCGTCTCTGTCTCCTCTTTTTTATAGGACACCACTCATGGGCTTAGGATCCAGCCTATTCCTGTATGACCACATGTTAACTGGTAACATCTGCAAAGATACAAATCCGGGATCACAGTGCGGGCAGGACCTCGCTCCCGCCAGAGGCTGTAGGGGAGGATCCATCCTTGTCTTTCCCAGCTTCTGGTGACCCCAGGCGTTCCTGGGGTTGTGGCCACATCACCCCAATCTCTGTGTGCACATGGCGTCTCCCCTGTGTCTCTTCTCTTGTATAGTACACCGCTCAGATGGGGGAAACCCTGGTGGCATAGTGGTTTAGAGCTACAGCTGCTAACCGAAAGGTCAGCAGTTTGAATCCACGAGGCAGCCCTTGGAAAGCCTGTGGGGCTGTCCTACTCTGCCCTGTGGGGTCGCTGTGAGTCGCAGTCGTCGCGATGGGCACAGGTGTGGTTTGGTTTTTACTCATGTTAACAGACAGCTAGTTCCCAACAAGGTCACGTTCACAGGAACAGCCATTAGGACTTGGATGTTCTCTTTCTGGGGGACACAATTCAATCTGTAACAGGTGTACATAGTTCTCACCTGTCTGGAAATCTGCAAAAGGCGCTGTCCGGGGACAAGGAGGTGTCTAGCAGGCGACCTTTTTCAAGCCCGTGATTCCTCAGGGATGATCCATTTTATAGGCGCCCTGGTGACGCAGTGGTTAGCACTCGGCTGCTAACGGAAACATTGGCCGTTTGCAAGCCCTCTGGGGCAGTTCTTCTTTGCCACCTGGGGTCTCTATGAGTTGGAATCAACTCGGCGGCAGTGGGGATGGGTAACCCATCTTGTGGGATTCACGCATCTCACACCTGTAAGGAATCAAGGGAGTGAAAACATGAAGTGTGATCCACAGCTCCCTTTGGCCTTGTGCACTATTTGAGGTTGAATTCTTCTAGAAGTGTGTCGTTGGCTGTTATCTGCCCTCAAATTGGCCCCGACTCATGGTGACCCCATGCGCAAGGGAAAGAAACACTGCCCGGTCCTGCGCCATCCCCACGATCCGCTGCGGGTTAGACCCTTGTGATCCATAAGGTTTTCATTGGCTGATTTTCAGAAGTAGATCGCCAGGGCTTTCTTCCTAGTCCATCTTTAGTCTGGAAGCTCCGCTGAAACCTGTTCAGCATCACAGCCACACAGAAGCCTCCACTGACAGACGGGTGGTGGCTGTGCATGAGGTGGATTGGCCGGGAGTCGAACCCGGGTCTCCTGCATGGAAGGCGAGGGTTCTACCACAGACCCACCGCTGCCGCTATAAAACTGTACTGCACTTTTAAACCTTACTTTTGTGGTTTTTTTCCCTTTTCTCTAGTTTTTCCCCCACAACCGGACCGAGTTGCTATAGTGACTGGAGGGACGGATGGAATTGGCTATTCTACTGCTAAGCACCTGGCAAGACTCGGCATGCATGTGATCCTAGGTAATGATGTCTGTCGTTAATTACATTTCAGAAATACTTTACATTTCAATGTAAAATACACAGTTGTGCATTTATGTCTGCGTATAAACGTCGATGTCCGTGTAGACAGAACAGTCAACTACAGAAAACTTGTAAAGTTTGATATTCAAAAACTGAGAGAGTAAATGATTGTGGATAGTAATGCATTTTCTGCTCTAACAGTGAGCGTATATTTTTCCATGTGGGTCACTGGGAGGCAGGGGGAATACAAAACAAATAAATACGAACATGTTTTTAGAATATTTTCGTCCTTTGCTGCTATACCATGTAGACAGTCTACACTGAATTTCTCTTTTGGGTAAACTGCGATGAAGTGTAGTTGGAAAGGTAATGATGAGGTCTGTTCGGGTGGGTCACGATGGGGCGTGACTGGGCGGGTCAGGACGGGGCGTGACTGGGCGGGTCAGGGTGGGGCGTGACTGGGCGGGTCACGGTGGGGCGTGACTGGG